CATATATAATTGACAGAAAATATTATTAATATTTTAGTCACTCCCAATGAGAATAACATGTAAATCGACTGTGTTATAAAATCTAAATGTTTAGGTATAACCCCTTAATAATTTATTAACCTATTTTTTTTATATATGATAAATTAATGACAAAAACAAGATATATCATTAAAGTCATATTATATATGATGAATAATTACAATTTGTTTTATGTATATATCAAATATTCTGAAATAATGTTAAATGTATAATAATTACACAAGCAGATTGTATCATTTATTTAAAATAAATTATAAGATCATTTTTATATTTATGTTACATAAAATAATTCAAATATATTATGTTTTTTTATTTAGATATAATTTAAAAAGAACTTTAAATAATTATTTTTTAGCCATTATTATTTTTAATTTATGAAGAAATATACTTTTATCCATGATAAATATAAAAGAAATAATAAATTCAATAAATAAAGTAATTCTAATTGAGCTTTCTATATAATATCTTAAAATATATATTATATGATTTAAACTGTTATTTTAAAATATATATTTATGCTTAAATTAACAATTTTATGTTTACACATGACATATGTACTCAAAATTTAGTTACGTATAATTGCTTATGGACATTAATTTATTTATAATTTCTCATATTCCTTATATTAAAAAATCTAAATATGGCTGAAAAACAATCGGAGGTATGGAATCATTTAAATTTATACTTATTATATAAGTGTATTAATGTATTTCTAGTACATAATTTTTTACTATAAAAAACGTATAATATTAATGGGCATCTGAATATTTATATTTTTCTTTTTTTCTTTTCAGACTTTTATCAAAAGGAATTTTCCTTCAGTTAAATTTTATAATATGCTGAATGAAGATTCTATGGAATTACAAAAAGATTATTTATCGTACTGTAGTAAATTTCCTGAACATTTAGATGAATTTGAACAAATAAAAAAGCTTTGTTCAAAATATATAACTTATTTAAAAGAACAAGACAAAATATTGATGAATAGTGAACACGAAAAAATGGATTGCAAAATTTTAACCTATTGGCTATATGAACAGCTAAGAATAACTTATAAAATGAATCGAATAAAATGTACTAATGCATTAAATGAAATTAGCAACAAGTGGACTCTGGATTCTTGGTCAGGATATAAATCTAATACTTACAGTTGTAAACCTTATGTTTCTATTAGTAGTTATCACGATAACTGGGAATATGCTAAAGAACTGTATGATTACTCTATAGATTTTGCTCACCTTAATTCTATTCAAGATGAGTGTGATGGTAAATGTAACGATGTTTGTGATTACCTTAATAAAATTGATAAGGTGTATGAGAGTTTTAAAGACCGTTGTTCTACTAACAAAGAAATTATTTGCCCATATACTGGGAACCTTAAAGAACTTTGTTCTCAATATAAAGAAAATATTTGCCCAGTTCCTAGGAATCAATATGAAGTATACAATACTAAATTATTGATAGAAAAGTTGTGTCATCTGACACCTCAGATATTAGATAATGTTGAAGCAGATGCATCTCAAATAGAACAAGTAAAACCTCCTGTTGAAGATGAGCTTTCCAGAGCTTCATTAATTCCAACGGATTCTCAGGTGGAAACAGAATTAATAAGTGGCAAATCGAAGTCTCTAAGTGTGTTTCGTAATACTCTTTTAGGATTAGTTTTAACATCTACGTTAATTGGTATTTTATATAAAGTAAATTATAATTACATTAATTCATATAATCATTACTAACCTAGTAAATTACTTCTACATATATCCATACGTTATAAATTAATATATTGCATATGTACTTTATTGTTCTTAAAATAATAATTTTACACGTATAGGAAAACAGTTACAAATTAAGCTTTCAAATAAATTTAATATTATAAAAAATCCAAATGAAAAA